GGAACTTAGAAATGGATATGATCGATTGGATAGATTAACTGCAAAAGGACCAAATCATAAAGAATTCATAGAACCTAAAGTGCAAGGTTTATGGCGTGTTGTATTAGAATCTCAATTCTCTCCAGAAGAACGAGCTTCATTAAAAGTTAATATACATACATATATATATATTCAATAGATATAATAATTATATTTTTGTTTGAAATATTATATATATTGTATTTTATTATTAATTAGGAGGAATTGTTACATTATGAAGGAAGATTACTCAAATTGCGTCATTTACACACAGAAGCTGCTTTAGAAGCTGCACGACAAGGAAAACAGTATGATTTGGAGAATTCTACTATGGAACAGCATATCAAAAAACATGCAAGGACTATTCAAAAACTTCATACAGATCTTGAAGCAAAAATTATGCAAAAACATTCTGAACTTTAATATAATTAATGCTTAATAAATTTGCACAAATGTTATTTTTATAATAATTTTAAAATTAAAAATATTTTTATTAGAAACATAATGAATATAAATATATGACATTTATAAAGATCTAATTTGAAAATTATATTATTTTATATTACATTTATATGATATATTTTTAAGAAATTTATAATAAGAGAATAATATATGAATAATTTTAGATTCATATAATTTTACCACATTTATAATATAATAAAAATTATATATTATCTAATACATTGAACTCTTTCTTAATTTTTTATTTTATTATCTATTAATTAAACTTTAATTAATAGTATAATAATATATCAATATTCATGATGTATCAATGTTGCTATGGTAATTGTTTAGAGTCAAATTTATTCCATAAAAAGAACAGTCACATATGATATATCTAAGTTACATGATAACTTTTTTTAAGAATATATTGATTATTCTTTAATAAAGTTTGAATAAATTAAATAATACAATGGCAACACCAATAAAAGATCGTGTTATTCCTGTTATGGATACTTTGGTTAAATATGACAATCCAGTCTTACTTACCACTTATCCAGAAAAGGTTTGATCTTTATTAATAAAATAATTGTATATATAGTTAAAATTTTAACTTCTTATTGATCATTAAAGTATTTTTATTAAACAGGTAATAAAAGAAGTACCAAAAATTGGAGAAATAGTTTGTAAAGTTGAAACCACTGTTCCTACACTTGATACAAGACATGAAACTTCTGAAATTTTAAATAAAATTTTGCCACCTAAACAATGGGAAGAAGATGGTCAAATTTGGACTCAACAAGTAAGATATTTTTTCGTTTTGTTAAATAATTTACTATGATTTTTAATAAATGCATTATTTATAAGGTATCAAGTACACCAGCAACAAGACTAGATGTTATTAATTTACAAGAACATCTAGATATGAAATTGCAACAAAGACAAGCAAGAGAAACTGGTATTTGTCCAATACGTAGAGAGCTTTATACACAATGTTTTGGTAAAAGTTTTTTATATCAATAATTATTAATTATTAAATATTATATTAAAATTAGAATTATTTAATAATATTATTTCGTAGATGAAGTAATACGCCAAGTTACGATAAATTGTGCAGAGCGTGGATTGCTTTTACTTAGAATTCGAGATGAACTTAAGATGACATTAGCTGCATTTCAAACTTTATACCAAAGTAGTATTGCTTTCGGTATGCGCAAAGCTCTTCAAGTATGTTATATTTTTTTTAATATATAAAATGACATATATTAAAAGATATTAAAACTTCAATAAAATTTTTGCAGGCTGAACAAGGAAAGGAAGATTTAATTGCTGCAGCAGATGAATTACAATTACAGAAGATTGAATTAGAAAAAACAGTTGTTGAATTAAAACAAAAATTTGAACAAGCAGAAAGAAGAGCAGCTGAATTACGGGAAGCTGAAGAGAAAAAACATATGGAAGAAATACAATTTTTGAGAAAAACAAATCAGCAGCTGAAGGTAAATAATATTTATATATAATTTTCATATTCATTTCAGACAAATATAAAAAAAAAAACTTCATTAACAAACTTTATTAATCGCATTATTTTTATTTCAGACACAATTAGAGGGAATTATTGCACCAAAAAGATAAAATAAATATAAATGATAAAATATATAATAATAAAAGGTATTCATCTTTATATATAGTTTAATTTTATTTATTTTAATTCAATATAATAAAATCAATATAAAGCATATTAAGATGTTATTTCTTTTCGTGTTTCATGATTATCTTTCATTTACATATATATTTATAAATTTATTAAACATTGTAAAAATTGTATAAATATTGTATTAATAGAAAACAATAGTTTAGATAAATAAATATTTATGTTTTGATATGTTAACTTTATATAGTCTTACAAATATTAATTACATGAAATATTTTTTATTTTATTTTTATGTTAAATACATTTTAATTTACTTACATAAATTAGCGCAGATTTATTATTTAGTATAATCAAATATATTATACTTATCAAAATATAAAATATACGTAATAGAACATAATATTCTCTTTTTATAATTATGTAAAATTATTATAAGAGCAGATATAAAGTTTTAAAAAATACATATGCATTATTCCTATTATTTGATTTAACACTAATGTAAAGTATTTCTAAACATAAGTTTCCAATTGTAAGTTCATTTTCTATAAAAAATTATGTGACTTGATAATTTATAAGTAATATATATTAAAGAATGATAGATATATTTTTTAAAAATTCATAAAGAATTTTATAAAATATTATAAAACAATATTATAAAACAGTTTTTATGTTATACATTTAAAAAATATTTACTTTTAAAAATTATATCTATAAATATATGATAAATATTGGCACTTTATAATTGTATATAATTTTGAAAATGCCACATTAACTATATTACTTGATAATGAATATCAAATTTTTTTATAATTTTTATAAGAGAAAAATGTTATACTTTTTTTTTTAGATCAATTTTTTAAATAATTTAATAAATTGGTCCCGCGCTCCTTTAATCGCACTTTACACCGCAGTTAATAATATACTTCTCAATTAATGCTTGCTTATATTACATATTTTAATTTTATATATATCTTAATATTAATAATATGATCTGTTCATTAAATACTTTGTGATCTATATAAAATGATATATTTAAAATGATTTATCTTATTATTGTAAATGTATCAAGAATAAAAAAATATTAGATCTGAAATGAAAATAATTAAATTATCATTTTTTATTTTTCAGTTTTTTAACTTTATATATTGCAATTTCAACTTGGGCATTTTGAAATAAATGAAACTAACAAAGATTGACAAAGATAAATTACAAAGATTATAATTAGTTTATATTGTATCAAATAATGTAACTATTCATTCTTTTATTGTATAAATAAATATTATAAAAAAAATTTATAAATGCAAATTAAATTTTATTACAATTTCATAATATATATTAAAAAATATTATTATTTATTAATTATTAAAGAAATAATATATATTTCATATATTTTATTTCTTAATTAGTAATTATTATTTTTATTTATTTATTATACATTGCATTTTTTATGAATATTTGAATATTTAATTATTTGCTTACGAAATTATATAATTCGTATGTATTATAAATTAAAATATATTAATAAAAAATATAATTAAAATAAACACATTAAATGATTAACAAACTTATAAATACATATAAAAAAAATTTTAATAAAAAATTTAATACTTAATATTCTTTCTCTTATTATGTTAGTGGCAACTTTGATATTAAAATGAATAAAAAAACTTTATATAAATTTCTTTCTAAAGATGAAAATTAAAAAACAATTGATATTTAACAATTAATTATATATATATATATGTATGTATACTTTTTGTTTAATTAAAATAAAACAGTTTTACATTACATATATATTAATTTACTTATTTCTATAAAAAAAAAAATTATGAAACACAAAAACTAGCTATAATTCATGTGATTTTTCATTTTTAAACTAATTAATAATTTATTTTTAAATATATTCAAAACTAAGAATTATACATATACTTTTTATACATATATTATGATTCAATTAAATAATTTATATTATTTGTTTCTATGATCAAAATATCGTTTTCGTATTTTTATTTAAATTGAGAAATTGCTTATATTAATTAAAATATAATATTTTTTTAAATTAAAAACAAAACAAAAATTGCAAAAAGGAATGTGTATCATTTTATATAGAACAATGTAATATCAAATCACATCAACTTTTCATACGAATGGATTTTAATAAATATATTTCATAAGATAGTTATGATCATAGTATTGATTGTAAAAATACTATTTTAATTTTACATCCTAATATTTTCAGCACTCAAATACCTTTTAAAAATATTGTAGAGTCAAACAATGTATAAAAAAATAAGAAATAGATTATTATTCGTTATTATGTTGCACCAGTCCAAGAAAATTATAATACACTATAATAATGCTAATGCATTATTTTAAAATCAGTTAATATCAGAAATATAGCACGACCTATAAAAAAAAAAAACAATAAACGCAATTTTAATAATCTAATCAGTTATCAATTAAATGAATATAAAATTATA